GAGTGTAAGGGCAGATCAAGTGATTCAACAGGCAGGGGAGGTTATCTGTGCACCTGAGGTGGGGAAGAATGGTCCTCTTCCCCAAGCTACACAGTTCAATCATTGTCTGAGTTTCTGCCAAGAGCTTCTCCAGAAGAAGATTACCCCAAAGGTCCCTGCTGGGTGCCACCAGCAGACCCCTCTGCAGCACCTGAGCACAGCAGAGTGGTGTTGCCTATACTTAGAGGACTGGTCAGTGCACTCCTCAGGCAAGGGCTTTAACAATAAGAGTGTATAACCATGGGAAGGCAGCGTCTGGGTCTCTAGCAGACTCACTTCTCTGCCAGGTGGACTAAATCCCCACTGATTTTCACTTCCAGGTGCTATGTGGGCTCTTCTTATCTCTATTGCTCTGAGTTGGGGATCCCTGTGTAGGGTTGAGACCCCATGCTGCTGGGGGTAGAGAGATTTGCAGCCAAGGTATTCCTCCAGGCTTCTCAGCCATCACAAATAGGTGTGGGGGCCAGCCCTTTCCATGTCTTCACCCTTCTTATCAGTTTCTATGTGGCTTTTTCTATAAATACTTGGTTATAATGTTTTAGTTTAGCCTTCAGTTGTGTATTCAGGTTGGTTGGTCTATAATTTAGCTGTAAATTTGGTTTGGTGCCAGGAGCAGGTGTGTGTAGCTTCCATCTACTCTGCAGTCATCTTGAAATCTCAATAAACCATTTTAATGATAACATCTTATTCCTCTATTATATATATGTTATTCTATTCAACATAGAAAATTAAATTTTTTGGAGATTAAAATAATTTTAGTCAGGATTATATGAGACCAGCATAAGGAATGTATTTATAAATATATTATCTGATATAATATGTATACCATCTTCATTCTTTAAAACTGTTTCACCAGTAACATTGTTTTCATGACAGGGTAAAAGGTCACAACATTCAAATAGAAACTCAAGAGTGTGTCTAGGAATAATAACATGTGTAACATGTAATCCCATGGGCTTTTGTCAGAACTAGACATAATTTTAAAATTATGGCTGATGTTTGTAGTTCTGGCTTTTCTTAGGGGATTTTTTGAAAAAAAAAAATACTTGTAACTTAAGTATTTCTTTATGGAGAAATTTTGAGGTTAGAAATACCATACTAGGTCAGCAATGGTCATGTATTCCTATACTCCATGACTTGTGGTGACACCAAAAAACACTTCATAAAAAACATAACTACCATCTACAATATCAGCTTCTGAAGAGTGGGTATGTATCTCATACATCTTCAGTTTTCATTAATAATCCATTATTTATAGATGATCTTGGAATTTTCTCTAGTCCATTCTCAAATCTATTCATATACTATATATACAAATTTTTAATCACAAACTCTATATTTAATCTCAGCTAGGATTTCTACTTGAAAGATGTACCCTTTTACTTCTTTTTATTTTCCTTTAAAATCATTTCTTCGGACTTCAAGTGGGGAAGAAGAGGATCTTGATTCTGGTGTTTCAGTATTTGTTGTACAGATGCAAATTTGTCCTAGTATTACCCTCTCATTTCCCCTGCTTATAAAATAAATAATGTTTTAATTTTAAGAATAAGCCCCAACTGGTTTGGCTCAGCAGTTAAAGCGTTGGCCATGGACTAAAGAGTTGCAGGTTCAATTCCGGGCAAGGGCACATACCTCAGTTGCAGTTCATCCCTGGCCCTGGTCAGAGTTGTGCAGGGGGCAACCAGTCGGTGTGTCCCTCTCATGGTGATGTTTCTCTCTCCCTCTCTCTCTCTCTCTCTCTCTCTCTCTCTCCCCCCCCCTTCTCTCCCTCTCCCTCCCTCCTTCCCACTCTATCTGAAGATAAATAGAAAAATATCTTTGGGTGAGGATTCAAAAATAAATAAATAAATAATTTTAAGAATAAAATAGAGTAATATTAGAAAATTTAGAAAATATAGAACACTCATTTTTTTAATATGTCATCTGTAATCCCACTTAATCAAAGATAACCCCTAGTAAAATCATATATTTCCATCCAATCGTTTCTCTATGCATATATGTACATATGGAAGTCCTCCAAAAGTATTTATGTTTTATATAGCATTTTTTAAAATGATACTCATCTTTCAAAATATACTCTAGGCAGAAATTATTCACCAGAACTCCTATTGGAACTTAGACTTTAAAATTATATTTTTATATTAAATTAGCAAAAATATTTCTTTTCCTTTTTTGAAGAATTAGAAGGAATGATTTATCTGAAAATTTTTTTAAATGCATAGTCATTTGTTATCGTAAAATGTTATTTATAGAAGTAAATGTCTACATTTGTCTTATTTATATTTTCATTCATATAAAGTGATAGTAGCAAATTAAATCTCTGGCTTTAAAAAACCCATCCTTATGCTCTGGCTGGTTTGGCTCAGTGTTTGGAGTGTCAGCCTGTGGACCAGAGAGTCCCGGGTTTGGTTCCCACTAAGGACACGTACAAAAAAAAAAACCAACCCATCCTTACAAATTTTGAGGTGATACAAAAGAGGTTTAAGTTAGCCAGAGTACTTTTCACTGTCAAGTAGATATTTAAAAACATTAACTTGGAGGCTATGTCCTATATTCATAACCTGAGACAACATATGCATTTTCCACTAGATGTATTCCATATTTCTTTTTAACTCCCAACAGTTTTTTAAAAAATTAAGTCTTTCACAAGTAAAATGTCTCCTCAGACTACATCTAAAACCTGGTAAGGAAATGATGTAATTAGTAACTAGAATTATGACATGAATATTTATTTGCATCAGTGTTACCAAGGAGATATAGAACCCCAACAGTACACTTCATTTGGAGGGCTTACCTAGCTCCAAGAGGCTCCTTCTTAAGTATCCTCTTCTCTACCTTCAAAAAATTTATATTTTTCTTCCTGTTTTTTCTCTGTTTATGGAATCAAGGATCTGACCTATTATACCATGGTTTGTCACTTGGTACATCTACACATGAAGTATTTGAACCTGGAAAATATTTTAAGGGTTTGGGTTTGAAGCTTTAGATTATGTTTAAGATATTTAGTTTTAGTATTTGAAAGTTATGGTAAATACATATGTTCTTAGCCCTGGCCAGTTTTGTTCAGCAGTTAGAGCATCGGCCCGGGGACCAGGGAGGCCGGGGTTCGGTTCCCGCTAAGGGCACGTACCTCAGTTGCAGTTTGTCCTTGGTCCCCTGGTTGGGGTCGTGTGGGTGGCAACCAATCGATGTGTCTCTCTCACATCAATGTTTCTCTCTCTTCCCCCCTCTCTCCCTCCTCTGAAAATAAATGCAAAAACGTCCTCAGGTGAGGATTAAAATATATATATATGTTCTTATAATTTTTAAAGGGATCTAGTTAATTCTTACGGCTTTCTAAGCAAGGTAACATCATAGATTGGAAATTAATTTAACTTAATCTGAGTGAATCAAATAACAAATGACTTGCTTAACTAAACTATTCTTCTCACTGTGAAATGGAACTATCTTCTTTTGTCTTCATGACTAAAGAGTGAACATGTCAAAACTCTTGACTCCAAACTTTATATTTTTTCATTTATGAAAACCAATGATTATTTTGAAATGTTGCCATAAAAAATTTCAGTTAAGTGAACATTTCCAGAGAGAAAAATTATTTAAGATGGCTTTTCTCGTGAGCATTACATCAGGTTTTATCATTTAAAATCACTGCTTTGACTTAATTTGCTTAATCTAAGATTTCAATTTCTTCTTAGAATCATCACTTGTTGTGAAAATCAATACTTTTAGATATGACTGAACATGGGCTTACTGAAATAATTCCTATAGCTCCAATCATCAATGGGAATCCCATGTATCAGGTAAGAGTAGTTTTGCTTTTGCTTTTCTTTTTTTTTTTTTTAATCATAACTGATCGATTTTTTCTCTTAAATGCTGTATTAGCTTTTATTTAGAAAAAAGTGTGTCACTTTTTATAATTGGTCACTTAGTTTGGGAGTTTTTAGTTTTTTCACCAACATTGACTTATCTTCCTTATAAACCTTTTTAAATTGCTTTAGAGATATTTAACACTCTAGCTTAGGCCACGTATAACCTCCTTTTGTGTTGATTTAGCTGCTTTTTCAGCCTCCCTTGATTGGCCCTAAAGTCCTGATGAATAGTTTAAAAATATGACTCTAGCCCAGCCGGTGTGGCTCAGTGGTTGAGCATCGACCCATGCACCAAGAGGTTACCAGTTCGATTCCCGATCAGGGCACATGCCCAGGTTGTGGGCCAAATTCCCAGTGGGGGGGGGGGTGTCATGCAGGAGGTGGCCAATTGATGCTCTCTCTCATCAATGTTTCTATCTCTCTCTCCTTTCCTCTCTCTCTCTAAAAATCAATTAAAAATGTTTTAAATACAACTCTAATGCATCCTAAAGTTTGTTCATATTCATTCATAGCTGTGAACTCAACTAACATTTTAAAGTATTGTTTTGAGCAACAATGACTTCTACCTATAGGATTGGTCTCCAGAAAGAAAGAAAGGGTATAATTATTTTTTTTAATATATTTTATTGGGTTTTTTTTTGTTTTGTTTGTTTGTTTGTTTGTTTGTTTGTTTGTTTGTTTTAGAGAGAGAGAGAAGAAGAAAGAGAGAAATAGAAACATTGGTGTAAGAGAGAAACATTGATCAGCAGCCTCTTGCACGTCCCCCAGTGGCGATCGAGCCTGCAAGCCAGGCACATGCCCTGACTGGGAATCAAAATGGGACCTCTTGGTCCATGGGACAATGCTCAATCCACTGAGCCACGCCAGCCGAGTGAGAGGGTATAGTTTAAATTTAGCATCTACCCATTTAAAGTAATCTACTCAAGAAATCTTATCTACATATGTATGTGAAAAGATCACTTACCTTTTCTTTGGAGTTTAAAAATGAGCAAATATTGTACTTCTAACTTATAATTTTGTTTTACATCATGTCAAAAGGCACTGAAATATTTTTAATTACCTATTGAAATTAAAATTACTTCATTTTACTAGATGGAAAGTTATCATCTGAACACCACTAATGGAACACAATATACCACTAATTATTCACAAATAATGACTCATCCCAAGAGATATACCAGATGGAATTATTGTCCTCAATACTGGATGCAACAAGTATGTATGAATTTTACCTTCAGATAAGTTTTATTTTCATTTTTTTAATTTTTTGCAGGATTTATTTTGGGGAGAGGAGTTGGTCTTTCCATCTCAATGCCCCTATTTTCTATGATCTTTCTATATTAAGTTTTACATGGGTGGGGAGGATCTGTTCTTAGGGGTATTGAATTTCTACTACATGCCCATTAATCCAATTGTACTCTTCTCCTTGAGCATATAAAGTCCCCAATAATTCGTGAGTCTGAATATTTTTCAAAAGAAAAATAATGATTTTTATAGATTATTTAACAGAAAGTGTGTCATCCAAGGATGGTTTATTTCTAGATTGTGTTGCTGCAAGTTAACCCTGGAGAGTCCCTTATCATCAAGTCTGATAATGGGAACATTCAGAATATTCAAGGTCAGTAAAAATATAATTAAATATGTGTTGTTTGAAATCAAATATAGTGCATTTAAATATTAGTGTGAAATGACTTTACTAGAAATCTATTCCAGTAATATTCTTTTATGTTTGAGCCAGTTTGAATGCTCTTAAATTTATACATTTCTCTCAGAAGCATAGTATCAATAGAACAACCAGGTTTCACCTCGCCACTTGTACTAGAGACCCTCCTTCAAGGTCATTTTAAAAATTGAAAATTAATTCAAGAATTCCATTAGAAAAGGCCAGATGTTGGAGATATTGACAGCCACTGATGGTTTCAGACTATTCTCCTGTAGGAGATGACTGTTGAGGGCTTCAGATGGCTCATTTATTCACACATTCAACAAGTATTAGTGCTTAGTACTATACTAGACATTTAAGATAGAACAATATACAGAAGGTGGTAAAATTATTCATATATAATTGTCTCTTTATATGTATATATCCATGTATATATGTATATATAGCAAATTTACAGCATATAGAATTGCTTCAGTGGTAACATAAAATTAATAAATATTTACTTCACATAAGATTTACTATTTATTATTTCAAAGTGAGGCAGTTGTTTCTGTTTTATGCCAATTATTTTGTGTCCTAAAGTCATTTTGAGTTATGTCTCAAAATTTCTTAAAACATTACCATTTACCCATAAACATGTGGGTTTATTTCTGGACTCTCAATTCTGTTTCATTGGTCTGTGTGTCTGTTTTTCTGCCAATACAGTGCTGTTTTGGTTATTGTCACTTTGTAATATAATTTGAAGTCAGAGAATGTGATAACTTTGGCTTCATTCTTTTGTCTCAGGGTTGCTTTGACTATTTGGGGGTCTTTTGTGGTAGTAAAGGGTATAAGGGAGTCAAATATATGGTAACAGAAGAATTTTTTATTTTGGTTGGTGGGCACACAATGTAGTATATACAGATGATGTATCATAGAACTGTACATTCAGAACCTATATAATCTTATTAACCAATGTCACCTCAATAAATTTAACTTAAAAAACATTGTTGCCTGGCCAATGTGGTTCAGTTGATTGAATGTCATCTCATGTACCAGGAGGTCACCAGTTTGATTCCTGGTCAGAGCACATGCTTAGGTTGCGGACTCAATCCCCAGTAGGGGGCATGCAGGAGGTAGCCAATTGATGTTTCTCTCTCATCGGTGTTCCTATCTCTCTCTCTCCCTCTCCCTTCCTCTCTCTGAAATCAATAAAAACATATTTTACAAAAACATGATAATTTAGCAATAGATTCCATATGGCTGCAATATAAAATTTATCATGGACTCATATTTATTATTTCCCCCCATTAACAAAAGTAAATTACCATTCTAAGACTTGAAAGCCACATATATTTTGAGAACTAAACACTAATTATAATAATTTCAGATAAACAAAAGAATGATGACATGTGTCTCCATTCTGTGTTGTATTTTTAGTTCCTATGCAACTGTAAGTTTAAGGAGTAAGAATACCTAATATAAACATAGGGTATCACATGAGTGGCATTGGGTCCTTCTTTATAATATACTGTTTTCTAAAAACTATCTCACTGTACTATGTATTATTGGTGAGAAGCCTTAAAATGAACGTTTATTTAAGTTTTATTATGTAGCATCACTATAAGAAAGATATTTTATGGTACAGAGTAAAACTTCTATTCAATGTATAAATATTTTAGGCAAGAAAGAACAGGTAAGTAAAGTACAATTATACTAGAAGGCTAATAGTTAATTATTATTAGCAGTAAAATTTGCCAACATATTTTATAAGTTGTATCTCATTATCATTATGTGCCTTAGTTACTTTCCATCAGTTTTGATGAATTTGCACTGATTCAGCTGCATAATTACCTACTCCCGTCTGCAAGTAAACAACATACACTTTCAAATTGGCTGGCTGTTGTTAAAGCTTGCAGCTGGTTTTCACTATGCAAAATTAAATGGACTTTGCTTTAAATTATTAAATAATTAATAAGAATTTTCTTTTAGGGCCTGCTGATGTACCTCTGATGTCAACAAGTGGTACTTTGCCACCAATATATCTTCCTCCTGGTTATATGTCTCAGGTATACTAGTGTGTTTTACTTGGTGTTTAGCACTAAGTCATCATTTAACAGTTTCCATCATGTCACTATATGACAAGAGAACTTCTAAAATACAGTCGTCCCTCGCCACTTCGCACTGTACTATTTATTTATTCACTTTATTATTATCATCATTGCTAAAAAGCAATTGCAATGATGTTTAACCAAACCTCCCTTGGATTGCCTTGTAAATATGCCTTATTCATCTAATGAATTTGTATCTCTTTATTACCATTAAACCTCCATTGTTTTTGTTTTTGAGTACTTTAACCAATCTTAATTATCTATTAACAATTGTTATCTATAGTAATGGATTCTGAAAATATGTGGGCTTTAATCCCTCAAATTACTTTCAGGTCAATAGTATTTCATTCTCAGTTGCCAGACTACAAATTACACTTATAAAGATTCCTCAAATATTTATCAAGCAATGAAAATGGGCAGGAAGATATGGCTCCTATAGAGATTAATAAGATATTCTATGGCCTCAGAAGTTTCATACTAGAGAATATCTTTTTATATTACACAACTGTGAAGATTGGGGTGGTGAACACACAATACAGTGTACCGATGATGTGTTGTGGAATTGTGCACTTGAAATCTGTATAATTTTGTGAATCAATGTCACCCCAATAAAAAGGAAAAGAAAGAACACACTAAATAAGTAAATATAATATGCTTTTCTTCTAAATGGGTTATCTATTGGGGCAATAGCTAACAAAAATACAAATGCAGCCCTGGCCAGTGTGGCTCAGTGTGTTGAGCATCATCCCATGCATCAAAAGGTCTCAGGTTCAATTCCCAGACAGGACACATGCTTGGGTTGTGGGCTTGATCCCCACCCAGTAGGGGGCATGCAAGAGGCAGCCAATAGATGTTTCTCTCTCACATCGATGTTTTTCTCTCTCCCTCTCCCTTCCTCTCTCTCTCAAATCAGTAAAAACATTTTTTTTTTTTTATCCTCACCCGAGGACATTTTTCCATTTTTTGTTCAGATAGAGCGGGCAGGAGAGAGAGGAAGAGAGAGAGAGAGAGAAACATCGACGAGAAAGGGACACATCAAGTGGCTGCCACCCGCACAACCAACCAGGGCCGGGGACGAACTGCAACCGAAGTACGTGCCCTTAGCGGGAACCGAACCCGGGTCTCTCCGGACCGCAGGTTGACGCGCTAACCGCTGAGCCAAACCAGCCAGGGCAAAACATATTTTTTTAAAGTACAAATGCGTATACCCTTTCACCCAGCAATTTCACTTTGAGGAATTTATCCTAAAGATGTATTTTCACAAATCTGAAATAATAAATGTACAGGATTATTCATTACAATGTTGCTTATAATCACAAAAGACTAGAACACTCTATATGCTTGTCAATGGGTGCTGTGAAGCACTATATAATGGAGCACTATGCAGCTGTGCAAAAAAATGGAAAAGCTCTATGTACTAAAATAGAAAACTTTTTAAGATGTATTGCTAAGTGTGAAAAGCAAGGTACTGAATCATGCAAATAATGCTACCTTTATTAATAAAAAGGAAAAATAAACTATGCATTATTATTTGCTTTTATAGGTACAAAGAAATTCTGTAAGGATTCATAAGAAACTAAGAACAGTAGGATTTTACTGGGGGCAATGAACAGATAAGGGTTAAGAGAGAAACTATTCATGCATACTTTTTTATACTTTATGGTTTTCAACCATGTCGATATATTATCTATTGTCAAAAATTACCTTTTTGAAAGCTACACTTGTGGGGAAAAGGAGTTATTTTGCTTCCTTCTTGACATAGTTTCATTTGATTATTGATTTTTGATCCTCTGGGTTTTCTAAATTAAGAGAACGAGCTATAAATCTAAAACTTAGTAGGAAAAATGCTAGTTTTATGGATTCTAATATGTTTATATGATTCTGTATTTCATTTTAGGTAGTGGAAGAAAATGGGATTCACAAAATTATCATTGTGCCTCAGACAATTAACTATAACGTAGCCATACCTGCTCCTATATCACATTTCATTACCCCATCCATTACTTCGTATCCACAAGCACCTCAGCTGATGTACCTCCCAGCTCAAGGAGAATTTCCACCACCTTACAACCAAGAGCCTGTGCCACAGCAGCCGCCACCACCACCACCACCATTTATATACCACAAGCACCATGGTATATACTTTTCTTAACCAAAAACTATTTTTCATTTGTTAAAATTAACAGCTTTGGGCAATTATTAAAATGATAAAAGTAGAGATAGTAACACTTCCTTGAATGATTGCATTTTATGCATGTATATTAAGATTGATAAAAATAAGTACTGGGCTGTGTCTTAGGCAAAATGCTCATAAAGAGAATTTTGTATAAGTTTTCTGTACTTTGATATAGCAAGTGATTTATGATATTTATTTTCCTGACTGGGTCCATAAAATCATATTGGAAAATCAAAAGAAAAATTTTTTTGTCTTAGCAAGTTTGATTTTATTTTATTTTATTTATTGTTTAATGTTTTTTTATTTTTTAATTACAGTTGACATCAATATTATATTAGTTTCAGGAGTACAGCACAGTGGTTTTGCATTTATATAACTTATGCGGTGATTCCCCCAATAAGTCTTGAATCCACCTGACACCATATATAGTTATTACAATATTATTGACTAAATTCCCTGAGTGGTACCTTACATCCCAATAACTATCTTGTAACTACCCATTTTTACTTCTTAATCCCTTCACCATTTTCACCCAGGTTCCCCACCCCTCCCATCTAGCAACTATCAGTTTGGTCTCTGTATCTATGAGCCTGTTTCTGTTTTTTTGTTTGCTCTTTAGGGTCCACAAATAAGTGAAATCATATGATATTTGTCATTCTCTGACTAATTTCACTTAGCATGATACCTGCTAGGTACATCCATGTTGTTGCAATCTATTCTTCCCCTAAATTCATTGAGCATCCTTATAACCAGTGTTTTGAACTCTGAATCTGTAGGTTGCTTGCCTGCATTTTGTTTAGTTATTTTTCTGGAGTACTGTCCTGTTCTTTCATTGGGGACGTGTTTCTTTGTTTCTTCACTTTGGTCGTCTCCTTGTGTTTGTTTCTATGTGTTAGATAGAGCTACTAGATCTCCCAGTCTGCAGAGTGGCCTTATATAGTAAGAGTCTCATGGGACCCAGTGGCTTAGTCTCCCTAATCTCCTGAGCCAGGTGCTCGAGGGGTGTGCCTTGTGTGGGTTGTATGTGCTCTCTTGCTGTTGAGCCTTGATTACTGTTTGTACATTAGTGGGTGGGTCTGCCCCTTAGGCTGACCAGCTGTGAGGATTGGCTGTGATTACAGCAGATGAGCTGTTGTGTGGGGGCTCACCCTACAGAGCATGTATGTCATTTGTGGTGATAATTGGGTGGTGCTCTGGTGTGATCTGAAGACGGCCATTAGGAGTGTTGGTTCTGGGGACTCTTTGGTGGAGCTCTGGTGAAGGCCAGGTCAGCTGCTGCCTATGCTTTTTCTGGGGCCACCTGGTAGGAGCTATGAAGTGATCTGCATTTGGTACTGCCTGTACTGGGCTTGGAGTCACCTGAGTAGTTTTGCTGCAAACTGAGACTGGCTGTCACTAGTGCTGGGCTTTGGGCCACTTAGCAAGAGGTACAGGGCACACCAAGACCAGCTGCTGCTTGTTTGGGATTTGTGGACCTTTGAGAGATTTTAGGAAGGTCTGAAGTCTGGGCCCAGTTTGGCTGGTTGTGTGGATTAGCCTCTGTAAGAGGTTCAGGCCAGTAATGTGAATTGGTTGGGGTAGCATCTCAGAAACTCACCAGGGAAGGATGTGACTAGTGTTATCTAGGTTGATGGAGACTCTTAATTTGGTGCCTGCCTGCACCTGCAGGCTGGGGCTGGGGGAGCTCAACAAAGGAGCAATGATACCTACCAGTTCTGGAGAGAACTTCCCCTTCAGATCTCTCCCTGAAGTCAGACAATTCAGTCCCTGCCTGTATATCCCTGGTGCTTTTTGAGCTCTTGTCCCTTCCCTTGACTTTAGGGTTACTGTTTGTGAGCAACTGAGTCTGTTCTTGGTTCCTTTAAGAGGATGCATGGGTCTGGCCAGTGTGGTTCTGGTTGAGTGTTGACCCATGCACCAAGAGGTCGCCGGTTCAATTCCCAGTCAGGATACATGCTCAGGTTGTGGGCCTGATCCCCAGTGAGGGGCATGCAGGAGGTGGCCAATAGATCTTCTCTCTCATCGATGTTTCTATCTCTCTCTTCCTGTCACTTTCTCTCTCTCTAAAATCAATAAAGGAAAATTCTTTTTAAAAAACAGGATGCCTGGGTCTATAGAAGCCCTCCATCTCACCCAGACAGACTCTCTGCTGATTTTTTTTCATTTATCTTCAGACATAGCAGGAGGGAGAGAAGGAGGAAGAGAGAGAGAGAAACATTGATTTGAGAGAGACACATCAAGTGGCTGCCCCCCATAAGAACCCAACCGGGGCCAGGGACATACTGCAACCGAGGTACATGCCCTTAGCGGGAACCTAACCCAGGACTCTCTGGTCCACAGGCTGACGCTCTAACCACTGAGCAAAACTAGCCAGGGCTCTCTGCTGATTTTTACAGCCAGCTGTTGTGGGAACTGCTCTTCCCAGCACTGGTTGTGGGGATCCCAGTGTAGGGCTGGGTCCACTTGCTCCTCAGTAGGGACCTCCACAGCCAAGATATCCCGCCTGATTCTTAACTGCTGCATGTGGCTGTGGGAGCAGCCCATTTTATGTCTCTGCCCCTCCTACCTGTGTTAGCGTGGCTTCTGTATATCCTTAGTTATAGGAGTTCTGTGCAACTAGTCTTCAGGTGGTTCTCAAGGGTGGTTGTTTTATAATCTAGTTGTAATTTCAATGCGGTCATGGGAAATGTGAGCACAGCATTTACCTACTCTACCATCCTGATCAGAAGTCATAAAAGAATGTTTTGATTATTAATGCAATACAGTGGGAATATAGAAGAACTGAAAGGTCAACATTACAATCATCTTAGGACTTTAAAATTTGGAAGTGTAGTTACTCCCTAAGAAAACACTATCTGTATTTGCTCATGTTTTTCTTTCTATACATATAAATATATTATAAAAATATACACACACATATTTAATATCCATATTAAAGCAAAGTAGGAACCTTTTAAAAGTAAAGCATAGCTTTTTAGTGCTTTCTTGATAGTTTAAAAATATTCAAAAGACCTTCATAAATGTAATTATTATAATTATTAAACAGTATTTCATTGTCTGTTTTAGAAACCTATTCCCATGGAAGAGCAAATTATGGCCAACTTGATGAAAGGGCTGCTAAAATGAAAGAACATATGAAGAAAAATATGAGAAAACTCCAAGTTGGTAGACATAGGAATAATAGTGATATGCTTAACAGGACCTCTTTGCTTGTGAGCAAAACTGATGATCTTTCCAGTATTCCTGTTACTCCAAGCACTCACACTGTGGAATATGCTCCAAGCACCTACACTGTTGATAATACTTCAAGCATTTACACTGTGAACAATGCTCCAAGCACCTACACTGTTGACAGTGCTCCACGCACTTACACTGTTGACAGTACTTCAAGCACCTACACTGCGGACAATGATCAATGCACCTACAATGTGAACAATGCTCTGAGAACCTACACTATTGACAACACTTTGAGCACTTACACTATGGACAATGCTCCGAGTACCTATACTGTGAATAATAATCAGAATGTTCACACTACTGACAATACTCTTAGTACTTACACTGTTAACCCTTTGAGCACTTGCATTGCTGACAATACTCCCAGCAATTCTACTGACCATACTCCTAGTACTTCCACCACAGACATTGCTCTGCCTCCTTCTACTAATGATAGTACCTCAATCCTTTCCAGCACGAATTATGCCAAGACTTTCACCTCTAACAGTGCACCCAGATCATCACCTTTTATCAGTACTCCAAGCTCTTCCATTTCTGACAGTGATCCTAACACTCCCATCTTTGAAAATGCTCTCAGCATTTCTGTAACTGATAGTGCTTTCAGTGCTTCCGATACTGCCAGTACATCCAACACTGCCAGTGTTCACGATGAGATTAGTCATGGAAAAAAACAGAGTGCCATGATAAGCAAAGATATTAAGCAGAAACCAGGTGGAAAACAAAGCAACAGCCCATCATCAAATGCAGCAGAAAGAGGTAAGTTCCAGAGTTTGGTTTTATTGCCAATGAATAAACATCTTAATGTTTAGGAATCTCAGGGCATTTTGAACATTTAGGTGCCATTTTCTGCTTCTATTTTATCTTGTCTTTGTACCCCTACCTCTAAATTCTTAATGAGACCACAATCAGGATGCCTTTCTAAAACATGTAGAAATGTTCATCTTCGTGTAAAATGTGTGTGGGAACTTATGTGCACACCACATAATTTTTTCCAGTAAAACATTGCAAATTACTCTACAGTCCTAAAAAGTTCACATGATTTTACTTAAATTGGGCAATTTTTTCATTTTTGTTTGAGCTTGTTTAACACTAGCATATACTTTAAATCATTTTTTATTTTTCAATTATGGTTGACATGCAATATTATAATAGTTTCAGGAGTAAAATTCAGTGATTAGACATTATATAACTTACTAAGTGACCATCCCAATAAATCTCATACCCATCTGACACGATACATAGTTATTAGAATATTATTGACTATATTAGCTTATACTGTACTTTACATCCCCAGGCCTATTCTGTAACAACCAATTTGTACTTCTTAATCCCTTAACCTTTTTCACTCTTTCCCTCAACCCCCCTTCCATCTGGCAGCCATCAAAATGTTCTCTGTATCTATGAGTCTGTTTCTATCCTACTTGTTTATTTTGTTTATTTGTAGATTCACTTATTGATAAATATGTGTTTATTGCCATTTATTGTTCATATTTTTTATCTCTTTGTTCTTCTTAAAGATCCTTTAGCATTTCATATAATACTGATTTGGTGGTGATGAACTACTTAGTTTTTTTTGTATTTTGTTTGTTTTTTTGTCTGGGGAGCTTTTTATATGTCCTTTGATTCTAAATAATAGTTTTGCTGGGTAGAGTTATCATGGTTGTAGATCCTTGCTTTTCATCACTGAATATTTCTCACCACTCACTTCTGGCCTGCAAAGTTTATGTTGAGAAATAAGATGACAGCCTTATGGGAGTTCCCTTGTGGGTAACTAACTGCTTTTCTGTTGCTTCTTTTAAGATTCTCTTGTCTGCCCTGGCCAGTTTGGCTCAGCGGTTAGAGCGTCGGCCTGCAGTCCAGAGAGACCTGGGTTCAGTTCCCGCTAAGGGCGCGTACCTTGGTTGCAATTTGTCCCCAGCCCTGGTTGGTCGTGCGGGTGGCAGCCACTCGATGTGTCACTTTCATGTCGATGTTTCTCTCTCTCTCTCTTCCTGTCTCTCCCTCTCACTCTATCTGAACAAAAATGGAAAAATGTCCTTGGGAGAGGATAAAAAAAAAGATTCTCTTGTCTTTAACTTTTTGTATTTTAATTATGATGTATCTTGGTGTGGGCCTCTTTGGGTTCTTTTTTGGAACTCTCTGTACTGCCCGAACTTGTATGTCTATTTCCTTTACCATGTTAGGAAAGTTTTCTGTCATTATTTTTTTATTAAATTTATTGGGGGTGACACTGGTCAATAGAGTCATATAGGTATCAAGTGTACATCTCTATGATATATGATCTATATATTGCATTTGTGCCCACCACCCAAAGTCAAATAATCTTCCATCACCATATATTTGACCCCCTTTACCTTTACTAACCCTAAACTCCCTAGTATTCCATAGTATATATGTACCATATCTTCTTTATCCAATATTCTCTATCAAAGGACACTTTGGTTGTCTCCATGACTTAGTCACCAGTGAATAATGCTGCAATAAACATAGGGGTACATATATCTTTGTGAATAAATGTTTTTTGAGTTTTTCAGGTACATATCCAGAAGAGGGATTTCTGGGTCATATTGTAACTCTATTCTTAATTTTTTGAGTAACCACCATAATGTTCTTCATAGTGGCTGTACCAGTTACATTCCCACCAGGAGTGAATGAGTTTCTTTTACTCCACAACCTCTCCAACACTTGTTATTATCTGTCTTCTTGATAACAACCATTCTAACAAGTGTGAGGTAGTATCTCATAGTGGTTTTGATTAGCATTTCCCTAATAGCTGGTGAAGTTGAACATCTCCTATATCTGTTGGTTATTTATATGTCTTCTTGGGAAAAATATCTGTTCAGGTCCTCTACCAATATTTTAATTGGATTGTTTGTTTGTTTGATGTTTAGTTGTATGAGTTCTTTATATATTTTGGATATTAACCCCTTGTCAGAGCATTGTTTGCAAATATTATCTCCCATTCGTTTGGTTGTCTTTTTGTTTTGGTGTCAGTTTCTTTTGCTATGCTGAAGCTTTTTAGTTTTATACTGTCCCACTCATTTATTTTTAATATATTTCTATTGTTTTTTTTAGAAAGGAAGGGAGAGAGAGAGATAGAAACATTGTTGAGAGAGAAACACTGATTGGCTGCCTTCTGCAATCCCCCTACTGGGGATCAAGCCGGCAACCCAGGCATGTGCCCTGACCGGGAATCAAACCAATGATCTCTTGGTGCCTGGGATCATGTTCAATCCATTGAGCCACACCAGCCAGGTCCATTCATTTATTTTTGCCTTTATTTCCCATGCCTTTAGGGTCAAATTCATAAAATGTTTCTTACAACCAAGGTCTATATGTTTGGTATCTATGTTTTCTTCTATGTGATTATTGTTTTAGATATTGTATTTAGGTCTTTGATATATTTTAAATTAATTTTTTTACATGTAGAGAGACTGTAATCTAGTTTTATTCTTTTGCACATGGCTTTCAAATTCTCCTAGCACCATTTATTGAGTAGGCTTTCTTTTCTACATTGTGTGTTTTAGGCTCCTTTGTCAAAAATTATTTGCCTATATACATGTGTTGTTGTTTTTTTCCTGGACTTTCAATTCTGTTCCATTGATCTGTGTGTCTATTTTTCTGCCAATACCGTGCTGTTTTGATTATCGCAGCTCTGTAGTATAATTTGAAGTCAGGTAGTGTGATACCTTTGGCTTCATTCTTTTTTTTTTTTTTTTGGTATGTGCCCCTAGTGGGAACCGAACCCAAGACTCTCAAGTCCGCAGGCCAACGCTCCAACTGCTGAGCCAAACCGGCCAGGGCTTCATTCTTTTTCTCAGTATTGTTTTGGTTATTCAGGGTTTTTTGTACTTCCATACAAATCTGATTATTTTTTGTTATATTTATTTAAAAATGACATTGGAATTTTGATGAAGACTGCATTAAATCTGTGTATTGTTTTGGGTAATGTGGCCATTTTAATTATGTTGATTCCCCCAATTCATGAACATGGAATACCTTTCCATTTCATTGTGTTTTCTTCAATCTCTTTTAATCATGCTTTGTAGTTTTCAGTATATATGTCTTTCATGTCCTTTGTTAAGTTTATTTCTGGGCCTTTATTATATTGAGGTACTTTCCTTATATACCCATTTTATTGAGTGTTTTAATTATAAATGGATATTATATCTTATCAGTTGCTTTTTCTGCATCTATTGATAAAATCATGATATTTTTTTACTTTTTTGTTGTTGTTGACACTATTACAGATGTCCCCATTTTCCCCACCTTTGCCCACTTCCACCCAGCCCACACTCCTGCTTCCCTCTGGCCATTACCACACTGTTGTCTGTATCTAGGGATTATGCATACATGTTCTTTAGCTAATCCCTTCACCTTCTTTCATCCAGTCCCCTGTTAGATTGCTTATCTCCATTTCATTTAGTTCTTTTCCTGGAGTTTTGTTCTGTTCTTTCATTTGGGACATGTTTCTTTGTCTCCTCATTTTGACTGACTGCCTGTGTTTGTTTCAATGTATTAGGTAGAGCTGCTATGTCACCCAGGTTTGGTAGAGTGGCCTAATGTATTAGGTGTTCTATATGGTCCAGTGGCACAGCCTCCCCCATCACCTGAGCTGGGTATTCCAGGTGCACCCTCATGTGGGCTGTGTACACCCTCCTGTTGTAGTTGAGCCTTGATTGCTGTTGGCATGTCAAGAGAGGGATTTACCCCCAGGCCAATGCAATGCAAGGACTGGCTGCACCCACCGAACACCAACCACCATGGAGGATTAGCTGTGCGGAAGCCCATCCCACAGAGCAGGACTTATTTCAGCGGGCCTGATCCCCACTGAGTCTGCCCCTTGAATGTGTCTCTTTTTGGAGATTGTTGGGTGGTGCCTCCATGTGCTGTGAAGCTGTCCACTGGGTGCACTGGCCTTAGGGTCTCCCAGGAGGTGCAGGCCAAGGTCAGCTACCACCTGTGTTCTACCTGGGGCCACCTGGCATGAGCTACAAAGCATTCTGCAGATGGCTATTTGTGCTGGGCTTGGAGGTGCCCAGGAGAAGCCAAGCTGTGAACCAAGGCCCGCTGCTGCTAGTGCCAAGCCTGGGGTCACTTAGCGAGAGGTACAGGGTATGCTGTGGCCAGATACTGCTTAAGAGAGTTTAGGAAAGTCTGAAGCATGCACCAAGATGGGCCATTCATATGGAAAAGCCACTGGAAACAGTTTGGGTGGGCCCACAAGTTGGGTGAGGCAGGAGCCCTGGAAATCACCAGGGCAGAGTGAACAATGATAGCCAGATTGATGCAGACTCAGATGTGGTGCCCACTTGCAGGCTCTGTGGGGGAGGGTCTCAAAAAAGAAACAATGGCCTCTGCCAGCACTTTCATCTGGCAGAAAACTGCCCCCTCACTCTCGCCCTGATGCCAGTTAATTCAGTTCCTCCCCATGTGCCTTTCAAGCTGTTGTGCCAGCACTGGAGCTCAGAGGGAGTGAGTCCAAGTAAGTCCATGTTCTGGCCCTTTAAGAGGACCTGCTTGGGACTCCATAAGCCCTCCATTTCCCTCAGCCACAATCCCCACTGTTTTTTACAGCCAGAAGTTGTGGGGACTTCTCTTCCTGGCACTGGAATCCTGGGTTGGAGGGCCTGGTGTGGGGCTGGGACCCCTCACTCCTCAGGGGGGACCTCTGAAGCTGAAATATTCCTCCTGATTTTTAGTCACCACACATGGGTGTGGGACCAGCCAATTCCACATTTCTGCCTCTCCTACCAATCTCCATATGGCTTCTTCTTTAAATCCCTAGTTGTACGACTTCCATCTAGCTAGATTTCAAGTAGTTCTGAATGATGACTGTTCTGTGGTTTAGTTGTAATTTTGATGTGGTTGTGGGAGGAGGCAAGTTGTGCATTTACCTACATGACCATCTTGACCAGAAGTCCCTAATAGTATACACTTTAGACTACTCTTTTATTTTAAAACTTTTAATATAAGTTACTACTAGGTGTTTAGTAGATCTCTTGGGGATGATGTTTTTGTAATTGTATAATAGACATCTAACTTCTCCCATTTTTGCCAATGTAATATTTTGTTGGGTGCTTCTTTTACTTTTAGAATGCAGAACAGAACATGGAAAGTCATGCTGTTTTGGCATTGAGAAACCTATAGTAAGTAACTAAAGTGACTATTTCAGTATTCCTTTTAATTTACCTTGTCATTCCAAAATATGCACATTCTCTGATTTTTTTCTCTAGCAGTTATAATTTGAAGCTGTTACCCGGTTAAAATTTCATCATCTCCTTTAACTATTCGATATATAAAGATCCAATGTGGCATTGCTAAAAATAATATTAATGGCTCATTGTTTAATCACAATATTTAAGCACCTAATATGAAAAGAAGAATATACTTAGCATCACATATGACTTAGGGAAATATAATGTTTTAAATTACAGATTATAATTTTTAAGTATCCTACTCGAATTTTTACTATTTATTTTAGGTTTCTGATATTCAAACAAGATCTGCTATTATTTCATGGAAACCGCATAGTTCTGAAAAATGTAATCATGCCAAATCTCCTGTAACATTTGAATTGGCAATATGTAACAGCAGTAAAAATGGAAAATATAAAAATGTGTACACGTAAGTCTCTTTTTAATCATCTCTCATTTCTTATTCAATTTCAAAATGCTATCTAAACATACAGATCTCAACTAATATTAGGCTAAATACTAAAGATTTTTCTGCAATTTGTTCCAAGATTTTAATGCAATCTTCTACAGAAAGAGCTTTATGAATGGTGGTAGGATGCCAGGTCAGTCCATGACATTTATTGATTCATACATATGTTGCAGCTGAGGGGGCCTTAAATATAAACTGGTTCGTTCTCTTAGTTTTCAGCTTTTCTATTTGACAAGTTTAGATTAGGGGAAGAAAAGATTCCCTCCAATTGTCCTTTATCTTTTTGTCACTTAGATCATTTTAGGGAAGCAGAAAGTTTCACATGATGGTAGGTCTTTGGGTACACAAGGAAGATATTTACATTACAAAGGAAATTTAAGACTTGGGGTCTCCTGAGAATTTCATTGTATGAGCTAGCCATAAAGTGGAGCTATGATAGTAGCAGGATGACTTTAGGAATGTGCTCAGAAGGTAGAACCAGGACTAGGGAAGATGCAGTGGAGGACACAGCAAGAGCGAGCCATACCACTCCCAACAGCTTCTCAACTAGATAGGGACACGCTATCTGAAAGAGAGAAAGCTGAGACAGAGGCACAGTGGAAAGGAAACCCAAAGTGGGGAAGAAAGAGAAATTCCTTTGTCTAACAAACAACCAGGCAAGAAATAAGTCAGAGATTTGGATGTGTCTGTTTAGCACTTTAAAAATCAAAACACATCTTAACGTTGATTTGCTAGAATTTGTCATCTTTATTCAGAGACTCAAAGTGAAAATTTGAATATAATTAGTTACGTGAAATGTTATTTATTTTATAAGTAGCAGCTAGAAATTTTAAATTTAATAATTACAATACACAATCTTTTATATTAGAGGAATGAGAAGTTATAAAAAGTGATGAAAAGTTTTACATTTTGCTTTAAATATACATGGTGGTCTTTTTCTGATGTTATGTATTTCATAAAATACATTGTCTTTTTTTAATAAAAATGTACTTGCCAATATATATATATATATATATATATATATATATATACTTGCCTATATATCGGATTACCCTATAACTTTGGCCTTTGCCTAGAGGTAATGATCTTTTAGCTCTTTTTAGAGGCTATTTCAAGATTAGAGCCTGAAGGAGCTCCTTGAGGTGGTAAAGTATGCCTAGGTACTTACGACTGTTAGCTCAGGAAGATGTAGCTGTGGGAGCACAGCTACTTCATCCACTATAGCAGGTAGGTGCCCATCCAAGAAAGATTGCTCTATGTGATTGAACGAACAAGCTAAATGATGTATGGTGTCTTTGAGGCTTTTTATAACAACACTATTTAAAATAAAACAGTTAGCCCTGGCCGGTTTTGCTCAGTGGTTAGAGCATCAGCCTGCAGTCCAGAGAGACCCGGGTTCGGTTCCCACTAAGGGCACATACCTCAGTTGCAGTTTGTCCCCAGACCTGGTTGGTCATGCGGGTGGCAGCCACTCGATGTGTCCCTTTCACGTCGATGTTTCTCCCTCTCTCTCTCTTCCTCTCTCTCCCTCCCACTCTATCTGAACAAAAAAATGGAAAAATGTCCTCAGGTGAGGATTAAAAAAATAAAATAAATTAAAAAATAAAGTAAAATAAGACAGTTAAAGACAAATCTGTATTATTACAGTATGAAGAAGTTGCAGTGGTAAAATAATAAAGTTTCATTTCTTAAAGCTTTATTAATTTGGCATGAAAATGAAGAATTTTGAATTGTTAATATCACTTTTCTGCATTCATATAAAATGGGTTAAAATTATCTACACTCAAGGAGAATTGTGCTTCTTTATCAATTGACTACATAAGATTAGGAATGTTACTTAGCTTTTAAATATGTGCAAGATCTATTATAAATAAAGGCTATCTTCACAGTGGTGATGGAGTTGCCTTTACTCTACTTGAGCTACAACCATCCATGGACTATTTTGTAAGGTAAGAACTCCATCCTACATAACCTCCCCCGAAGCCAGATTCCTCAGTCTGTATCAGTTCACTACTTATGATTCCTTGAGTCAGCCTTGCAGTGTGCTAGCAGAATGGCCTTTCCTTCAAGTTTCAAAACAATCTCCTCCAAATCCAGCAATAGTTCACTTTCTTTCACTTAGAACATGTGAGAGGGCTATTTGGGAGGCATTATCTGCAAAAATCCAGCTCCATGCTATTAGGAAATATTTTATAATCATCTCCTAAGAAATGTATCTGGAAACTCAAGTATGCAATTTAATACAGATGTTAGAATAAATATTTGAAAGCTTACAACAATTATGATTCCATTTTAGAATTACAACCATAAGAGGCTCAACACACAAAACTGTATCCGAAGTGGTTAGCTTCACAACTCCAGGCTGCGAACCAGACCCTCCACTTGCACCCACACTAATTAACCGATCGAAGAGCAGCCTGAATTTACAGTGGAAAGTAAGGATTTTACTGCCAAAAACTTTTCAACATGTGCTTTTTTTAAAAAAAAAAAAAATCTTTATTGTAGAATGTATTACAGATGTTCCTCATTTTCCCCCATTGACCCCCTCCTCCCCACTCCCGCCCCCCTCCTGCCTTTTCCCACACTATTGTCTGTGTCCATTGGTTATGCATATAAGTTCTTTGGTTTATTTCTTCCCACCCCCCCCAACCCCTTTCCCTTTGAGGTTTGTCAGTCTAGCAACGAATTTGTACTTCTTAATCCCTTCACCTTTTTCACCCATTCCCCCAACCCCCCTCCCATCTGGCAACCAACAAAATGTTCTCTGTATCTATGAGAATGTTTCTGTTCTGCCTGTTCATTTTGTTTGTAGATTCCATTGTTGATAGATATGTATTCATTGCCATTTTGTTTTTCATATATTTTACCTTTTTCTTCAAAAAGACCCTTCATCATTTCATAAAATAACGGTTTGGTGGTGATGAACTCCTTTAGCTTTTCCTTGTCTGGGAAACTCTTTATATGGCCATCGATTCTAAATGACATCTTTGCAGGATAGAGTAATCTTGATTGTAGGTTCCTGCTTTTCATCACTCTGAATATTTCTTGCCACTCCCTTCTGGCCTGCAAAGTTTCTTTTGAGAAATCAGCTGACAGTCTTATGGGAACTCCCTTGTAGGTAACTAGCTGCCTTTCTCTTGCTGCTTTTAAGATTCTCTCTTTGTCTTGAACCTTTTGCAATTTGATGATGGTGTGTCTTGGTGTGGGCCTCTTGAGGTTCATCTTATTTGGGACTCTCTGTGCTTCCTGGACTTGTATGTTTGTTTCCTTCACCAAGTTAGGAAAGTTTTCTGCCATTATTGTTTCAAATAGGTTTTCAATTTCTTGTTCTCACTCTTCTCCTTCTGGTACCCCCAAGATGCGAATGTTGACACGCTTGAGGTTGTCCCAGAGGCTCCTCACACTATCCTCATTTTTTTGGATTCTTTTTTCTTTTTGCTGTTCTGATTGGGGATTTTTTGCTTCCTTATATTCCAAATCGATGGTTTGCTTCTTGGATTTACGTACTCTACTATTGAATCTGTGTAAATTATTCTCTATTTCGGTTAATGCCTCCTTCATTTCTGACTCTGCATCCGTCATTTCTGGTCCTTTTTTATGCTCTTGAGGCCCTCACTAAGTTCACTGAGGTTCTCACTAAGTTCATTGAGCATCCTTATAAGCAGTATTTTGAACTCAGCATCTGTTAGGTTGCTTATCTCCATTTTGCTTAGTTCTTTTCTTGGGATTTTGTTCTGTTCTTGCATTTGGGACCTGTTTCTTTGTCTCCTCATTTTGGCTGCCTCCCTGTGTTTGTTTCTGTGTATTACTTAACGAGTGGTATGCTGGCTAGCTGAGACCAGATGCTGCTTGTTTGAAAGAATTTAGGAAAAACCTGAAGCAGGATCCAAGTCAGGCCAATCCTATGGTTAAGCAAGTGGCAACAGCTTGGGTGGGCCTGAAAGTTGGGTGGGGTGGGGCGGGACCTCAGGAAGTCACCAGGGCGGGGCCACCAGTGTGAGCCAGGTTGCTGGAGTCCCAGATATGGCAGCTGTCTGCCGCCCCCGGGAAGGGCTCACCAAAGGAACAAAGGCTTCTTACAGCACGTTTGTCCCAGAGAAAGCCCCTCTGCAGCCCTCGCTCCAGTGCCAAACAGCTCAGTTCTTCCCTGTATGTTTCTGGTGCCCCTCAAGCTGCCTCCCCTCCAAGCTTAGAGGGAGAGTCCGATAAGTCCGTGCGCAGGCCCTTTAAGGAGCTGCCTGGGGCTCCAGCGGCCTCAGCCTCCCTGAGTCTCAGTTCCGCTGGTCTTTCCAGCCAGAAGTGATGGGGATTCTCTTCCTGGCACTGGAACCCTGAGCAGGGCACCTGGTGTGGGACGGGGACCCCTCAGTCCTCAGGAAGGACCTTCCCAGCCGAGGTGTCCTCCTGATTTTTATCCACCACCCGTGGGTGTGGGACCAGCCAGTCTGCCGCCGCCCCTCCTACCAGTCTGGATGTGGCTGCCGCTTTAATTCCGTAGCTGTAGGACTGCCATTCAGCTCGATTCCAGGCGGTTTTGAATGATGGTTGTTCTGTAGTTTAGTTGTAATTTTGATGTGGTTGTGGGAGGACGTGATACCGCGGTTACCTACCTGCCATCTTGACCAGAAGTTCTCAGCGTGTGCTTTTTAATTTAAAAACATTCTTTCTACTTTGTCCTGAATTTTAAATACAAAATTATGCATGCCGTATCTGGCCTATTTCCCTAGCACTTTTCCTTCTCTAATCAGCTCTCTCTTCTTTCTATCTATATCAAGCATCAAGTAAATTAAGAAATGCCAATCAGCCCTGGCCGGTTTGGCTCAGCGGTTAGAGCATCAGCCTGCGGTCCAGAGAGACCCGGGTTCGGTTCCCGCTAAGGGCACGTACCTCGGTTGCAGTTTGTCCCTGGCCCTGGTCGGTCGTGCGGGTGGCAGCCACTCGATGTGTTCCTTTCACATCGATGTTTCTCTCTCTCTCTCTCTGTTCCTCTCTCTCCCTCCCACTCTATCTGAACAAAAAAAAAAGAAAGAAATGCCAATCAGAATTTCAATAATCAATAAAAGTTGAAGTGTCAATTTCTACAACCTAAATTTATTTATAATTGTAACTACCAATAAATCTATCTCTCAGTTAATTAAGTACTAACTTTTTTATTGAATAAAATTTGGAAGACACAATAAAACAGAATTTGGGCATGTCTTATAGATTGTTAAAAAGTGCATTTTAATTTTAAAATTTGTATTGATTCAAAAATACAATTTAAGCAGATTAATTTACCATAATTTCTATCGTGTTAATTATTTGTATACTATACATGCGTATACACATATGTATTTCTATACTGTGAAAAAACAGCCCATCATAATCTTATCTTTCTGATATTTTTAGGGTTCCAATGATAATGGTTCCAAAATAAACAGCTTCCTTTTGGAATGGGATGAGGTAAAGTTTTATTTTTATATTTCTATTTAATTTATTGGGGTGACATTGGTTAATAGAATTATATAGATTTCACATGTACAATTCTATAATACATCATCTGTATATTGTATCATTTGTTCATCACCCCAAGTCAGGTCTCCTTCCATCATCATTTATCCCCCATTTACCCTCTAATAGTTTTATTTTTAAAAGAATTTATTTATAAATGATTAATAATATTATGAATTTTTGTTATTCGTAGCATTTTATAATATTCTAATATTTTCTGTATATTATTAAGGGAAAAGATGAAGACTTCAAAATTTGCTACATAGGTACCATGAAACAGCACAAGATCCTTAAACTGAATGCTTCTACAAAATATTCATTCAGATTAGCTGCCAAAAATAATTTTGGCTTGAGGTACATTGAATTATTGCAATATTTAGAAGTCTATACTTCAGTAAGAACCTGAAACTAATTTTTCCATCTTAATTTATTTTTCAGTGATTTCAGTGATCTAGCAGTCTTTTATACATCAGGAACTATGCCTCCAGCACCTTTACCCCCTAAGCTAAAAGAAGCAGGAGTCTGTCATTTGTCACTCGAATGGTGTGCCCCAACTAACACAAACCTCAATGACAGCCTTACTTATATACTAGAAATGGACGAAGCAGGATCTGTAAGTTTTCTTTTCATCAGCTTTAATCTTCAACTTCAGTCTTAGGTGCATTTTATATGCATTTTGCACTGAAAAAAAATTAATTCTAGTAATTTCTACTCAATCAAACTGCATGATTCCTTAGTCTCTGCGTTTTGGATAGGACCAATGCCAAGCCACGGTTAGGCAAGCCTGCACAGCGAAATCGGAAGGTACCCAAGTCCCTGCAAATTAACTAGAAGCATCAGCAGTCATAATAACCAAATAGAGACTCAGATGGCTGTGTTAGTTATTTAACTTTGGGCCTCTCCCAGACGACTTTGTAATATCTCACAGATTTTCTGCATACTTCTACCAGGGCAAGCCCTTTCTTTATCTCCCTGTTTTGTTTTTTGTAAATATCCTTGAGTGAAGATTATTTTTCTTTCCTTTATTGATTTTGGAGAGAGAGGAAAGGAGAGGGAGAGAGAAATAGAAACATTGATAAGAGAGAATATGGATTGGCCGCCTCCTGCATGCCCCCCACTGGGGATCAGACCCACAACCTGAGCATGTGCCCTGACCAGGAATCAAACCGGTGACCTCTTAGTACATGGGTTGATGTTCAACCACTGAGCCACACCGGCTGGGCTTTATTCTTTTTTTTTTTTTTTTAATTTATCTTTTTTATTGAACGTATTACATACCCTCCCCAACATTTTCCCCACTGACCCCCCTCTACTCCTCTCCTGCCCCTACATTTTAAATAAAGCAACTAATAAGAAATGCTCTGTGCAAGTAAAACACTAAGTGTCTTCACATACATATATTACATATTACATTCTGGAAAAGAGGAGACCTTTAAAGCAGAAATTATCTCCATTTTTTATATAGACAAACTGATGTTTAGAGAGATTAAGGGACTTGATCAGGACCACCCACATGAAAAATAAGCTGAAGTTGGAACTTGAACCCAGACCTGCCTGGTGCCTAAATACGCTGTCTTTCATTTCCAGGGGTTGGGTTTTAAACCTAAATATAATGGAGAAGACCTCTCATGCACTATAAGAAATCTTCAGAGAAGTACTACATACAAGTTTAGGGTATGTGGCTATAACTTATAAATTTGAATCATATTTTAATATAAATTTATACTCTTCGCTAGAGATAAAAATGAGTACCTTTTTTGGTTAAAATTAAACTTTATTTTGCATGTAGTTTTCATAAATTTTTAGTCAAATAACTTGCTTTATATTATTTACAAACTATACACATTTTCAAATCAGACTTTTATTTCCAGTGGTCAATCAGGTATTATCTTTTATTCAAACAGATATTTGCTTGCAATATGGAGGGAAGGAGTAACCCCAGTGGAGAGGTAAAATATACTACCTGTCCAGATAAGCCTGGATCCCCTAAAAAACCATATATAAAGGGAAAGATTCATGCACATAGAGCAAAAATTGGTTGGGGTAAGTAATGTTTTGCATTTAAAATTTACCATCTGTGTCTTAATATAGGCGATCAAGAAGAAATTTTCTGCCCTGGCTGGTTTGGCTCAGTGGTTAGAGCGTCGGCCCATGGACCAGAGAGTCCTGGGTTTGGTTCCCACTAAGGGCATGTACTTGCTTTCAGTTTGTCCCTGGCCCTGGTTGGGGTTGTGTGGGTGGCAACCACTCAATGTGTCTCTCACATTGATGTTTCTCTCTCTCTCTTCCTCCCTCTCTCCCTCCTGCTCTGTCTGAAAATAAATGCAAAAATGTCCTTGAGTGAGGATAAAAAAAAAAAAAAGAAATCTTCCTCTAACTGCTCTCAGTTTTATAAAACATTCTCTTAATCATCTGTATCTGAAATATTTCACCATATAAATGAGTTTAGTTGTAAACTATATATTTTTTCTAGTTCTCTATAGTGCTATCTCATTAATTCACACATGAATAAATTAAAATTATGGTTATTCCAAGTAAGACTATATCTAATATAGAGGCCACAATTAGAAGGACACATCAATAATAAATGTCAATTTGACATAAAGTATATTTATGCAAATTATTTTGCCTCTTAACTGGCAAAGTCAACTTTAATGTACATATATTTATCATTTAAGTCTCTTCCAAAGAACTTTAAAATATTAATTAAAAGTTTCATGTCCAATATTCCAAGCATGTACATTGGATTATGTTTTTATCATCTTTATTTGTATGTGAAAATTAATATCCTATTAAATTTAATGTCTGTATTTTTCCCTCCATGAAAAAAAATTTAATTTATGAGATAACTTTCCAGTGAAAGACTTTTAAGTTTATCCAAGAATAATTATAATTTTATTTCTCTTTTCAGAACCACCCAAAGATGATGGTGGGACATACATTTTAAGTTACAGTTTAGAAGTTAATGAAAATTCGGATGGTAAGATACCATGATTTTTTTTTGGTTTTTATTTTCAAATAATTTTAAATTAAAAGTTGCAAAAATAGTATAGAGAATTCCCATGTATAACCTTCACTCTGCTTCTCCTAATACTAATATTTTATATAATCACAATGCAATTATCAATACCAGGAAAATGGCATTGGTACAATACTATTAACTCCCAGAATTTACCTAAATTTCTCTAGTTTGGGGTAACAAATCATGTATTCTTACTCATCTTTTATGATTTTATGACTAATTCTACAGGAAATATAAATATTTAACAATTGTAAATAGGTAATGGGACCACAGCTAATTTCCAATATGGTTATTTCTTTGTATATTCGTAAGATAACAGTGGGCCCTGCCGGTGTGGCTCAGTGGACTGAGCATTGTCCTATGGACTGAGAGGTCCTGGTTCGATTCCCATTCCCAGTCAGGGCACATGCCCGGGTTGTGGGCTCGATCCCCAGTAGGGGGCGTGCAGGAGGCAGCCAATCAATGTGTCTCTCTCACATGGATGTTTCTATGGCTCTCTCCTTTCCTCTCTCTAAAAAAAAAAAAAAAAATCAATAACATTTTTTTTTTTTTTTAAATAACAGTGGGAACCCACAAAATTTATAAGCTACCTATAAATTGGATAAGTTTGCTTTTATCTCTTCAGGGAATTTCTGGAACATAGTCTACAATGGAACCACAAGGGAATTTCTATATGATCACCTGCAACCTGGTACTACATATAAACTGAGAGTCTTTTGCACTTCTTCTGTAGGTCAAAGCCAGGTGAGAACACAGAGATGGAAAGGTTTTTACATTGATAATTGAAATGAACTGTACCATATTACTAAATATTTTGACAAAATTGAACTTGAATTATTTATAGTCATAAGGTATTTTGCATTTTTCTTAGCCTTCAGGCATATTGACTATTCAAACACCTACTCTTTCTCCTGCATCTTGCCATCCTCCACCCTTGAATGGTAAGGCGAAGTCCCAACAAACCAACATCCAATGTGGTGAAGTTTCTTGTGTGATTTGCATGACTATACCTAAGTTTTCTATATTATAACCTCTGATTTTTATATATTTAATGTTATTTAAGCAGAGCAAATCGTTTTCTTTTGATACAAAATTAAATAATGTTTAGAAAATTACTTCTTGGTCATCAAAATTATAAATTTTTTAATGTATGGAAATTAAATTAAAAAGTAAATTGACACAAATTAATATAAATTGAATTATATGTTACTTTACTGTTTTCACAGACTTAAATTATTTTTGTTTTACTTTAAGAAGCACCCTTAAAACTATTTGAAAAAATTTTTATTTTGTATATTTTTATAGATAATCCTCCTACTAATGGAAACTCTAAAGCACTTGCATATGTCAAAAAGGCAAAACAGAACCAAGATGACATACAAGGGCGCATAGTGAGTAAATAGGACTGGGGTAATTATATTGTTCAGTTGATCCATTTGTAGTTCATTTCACTTTGGATGAATATATGCTTCTACTTTCTGTCAAAGTGGGGAGTGACCATGCCTGCACAATAATTTGTGTGTTTGCTTATTTATTTGTGTTTATTTGTAGTTCGGATCTCATTCAACAAAGTGTGAAACTATGCCAGGCCCAAGCCCTCCTTCTCAGTGTGGTACACCTGTGCTTGCCTGCAAAGGGTCAACCTGTGTTGTTGTTAGTTGGAAAGTATGTTATCAATTTATTTTAACTTTTTATTTTTCTCAATTATACTTTATATTCAATATTATTTTGTATTAGTTTCAGGTGTACAGCATAGTGGCCAGACAATCTATACTTTACTACAATCTATACTTTACAAAGTGTTCTTTCTCCCTGATATTTCCAGTACCCAATTGACACCATACATAGTCATTACAATATTATTGACTTATATTCCCTATGCTGTACTTTACATCTCATGACTATTTTGTTACCAATCTGTACTTCTCAATCCCTTCACCCAATCCTCCAGCCCCCTCCTCTCTGGCAACCAGTCTGTTCTATGTATCAATGAATCTATTTCAATCAATTTAATTTCATTAATTTTGTTGATATAAAAGCACAAAATTGGTTTGGAAAATTTTTGAAAGTCTAGAGCTCCCTAAGAAGTCAAAGTTTAGATTAGCGTTCCACAAATTTTGACCATGATACTAGAACACACTAGTGCTAGATCTGATACCAGTGCTATTAGGAAGGCTAAGGCTGTGGTAATTCCATCTTACAGATTCTATATTTATGGAGGATAATAAACTTGGAAAACCAAATAGGCTATTAATAGGTATAACTAATCAAATTTTAAAAACCAAAACAAGAGGTAATAAAATTAAATCAATTTATAGACATTAGTTTTTAGAAGCATCACTGGGAAATCCCTGTTTGGATGTAACTCTATAATATAACACATAAGAAATGTGACTATGAGAATGAAGTTTTCTAAAACGTAATTTTTACATCCATATGTCTATCTTCCCATTCAAACTTATCAAGTTCAAAAAATAAGAATTGGCCACATAGGTATCTTTGAATTTGTCTTCCCTTTTTTTCCATACTCTAGCAAAGTTTTTGGCATTGACACAAAAGCTTTAATCTGATAATAATAATAAATGACAAGTGTGATTACATCACTATTCTAAAGCCAGAGTAGTGGGGTTTGTGTTTGATCCCACTGATCAATAGCAAAATTAATTAACATTAATATATCTAAGTTTGTTTTTTTAAGTAATTCATTTGAAAATAATTTTATTAAATTGAAAATAGTAGTTCATTAAATATGTGGGATTAGTCAATCTTTTTTCTTAATTTTATTTAAGCCTTTTGATGTTATAGTTTTCTTATGTTTAATTATTTCTACATTTGTCTCTATCTTATACCACTTAATAGATTATAAACTATGACATTGAAAGGAACATGCCGTAACTTTCCACGGAATCTAGTAGAGTGAACACTTATAGAAAAAACTCAATTTCTATTTGTTGTATCTTTCAGATTCCTGTATGTAATGGTGCTGAAATCACTGATTATAGACTTGAGTGGGGACAAATTGAAGAATCGATGCATTTGATTTACACTGGCCCTTGTCTGAGCTATGAAGTTAAAGGTCTCATTCCAGCAACTACCTATTTTTGCAGAGTTCAGGTAATCCTAACAGTTCTTCCAATGTAAGTAAGGTAACCTATGTAATCCACATTCATAATACTGGCACCATTTCCACTGTAGATACCAGAAGAGGGTCACACATTTCTAAATCTTAAAAATTCCAAATATTTAGCAACAATATTCTGAGTTCCTTTACCTGGCATTTAAAGCCCCACATAATCTGGCACCTATTTTCTATTCCAACTTGATCTGCCATTATTTTCTTTATAGTTCTGTGTTTCCCAAGTGTCCCTGAATTTAGCAACTACCTGAAGTGCTTGTTTAAAAACACTGAATCTTGCACCTCTACTCAGACATACTGAATCAAAATTTCTAATCCAAAGACTTGCTAATAATCTGTATATATTTTTTATTGTTTACACTGTTACAGATGTCCCATCCCCCCCCATCCTTTGCCCATCTCCACCAAGCCCTTGCCACTCCTCCCCTTCCCTCTGGCCAATACCACACTGTTTTCTGTGTCTAATCCAAAGATTTGCTAATCTGTACATTTTAAAAGTACCCAAAGTGATTATTATCAATTAGGAAAAACTGCATAAACTATTTCAAACAAACAAGTTTACTCTACAACCACCCCCAAGTATGCCTTGTACATTTATTCATACTGTGTTCTTCCTATCTTGTCCCATAAAACCAAACTTTCTCTTAAATGCTTCCCTGAAAACCTTAGCTATAAGTGATCTCTTCCTCTCCGAAACTACTAGAATTATAAGACTCATAACTTTAAGGTTTGGGGAGATGGTCCAAATTTAGAACAAACTGATATGTTGTCCCTATAAAGTCAAGCCATCAAATACTAGGAGCCCTAAAACTGGGCATCTAAGTTGCATCTCCCAGATTGTGTTTCATAACTGGAAATTGTTTTTATTTTTAATCCTGTCATAATTTTTGGTTATCTCTATTCTTTGTATTTGAAAAATGCTCTCATAGTATATATTTATTAGTTAGAAGGCCACTGCAATAGTCCAAAGGATAGGTTGCCTACTTCAGAGATGTTAATGGATTTGAAAGATATTAAAGGTAAAATTCAATGGGATGGGTTTCTGCCAAGACAGATGGGTTTCCCCATACCTCCCAGGTCCTCCTCCTAACATCTAAAAAACCCTGAACATAATACAACAAACAAGCATGGGAAGACTCTAAATGGTAGAAAGAAAGAAAAATATGAAAAGAAAAAGAGCCCTGGCCAGGGTGGCTCAGTTTCTTGGAGCGTCATCCTGTGCACCGAATGGGTGGTGGGTTTGATCCCTAGTTGAGGCGCATGCAGGAGGTAATTGGTCTCTCTCTCTCTCTCTCTCTCTCTCTTTCTCTCTCTCTCTCTCTCTCTCTCTCTCTCTCTCTCTCTCTCTCTCTCTCTCAATAAAAATGTAAAAAAGAAAAAGATCCTAGGGACCTCCCGACTTGAGAAGCAACACAGTGGTGAGCCCCCTGGGTTTCCTTATCACCTCCCACATATCCAAAAAAAGGATGTGGAAGAAGACTCCAACTCAAAACTTCCAACAGAAAAAGGCAGGAAAAAAACCTCCAAGAAAAGCCTGTTTCTTTCCAAGCAAAATGGCTGGAAAAATGATAGCCTAACAACAGAAAACATTTTATATAATACCCACATTACTCCAGCCAAACATCAATGGAAAAATCACACACACCCTTGCTGTTCCCCACCCCTGAAGTTTTAATAGGCCGATTAGGAAGCTGACCATCCAACTCATCCCAGAAGCAAGAAACATGCTTTCATTTTCCTACCCAGGGATTTCAGTTTTGGCAGAGCCATGCGGGGAGTTCATCCTCTATCCCCTGCGTGGCAGAAGCAGGCAGTGCTCTGCTCCCATTCCCCTGCCAACTGGTGACAGTGTGACCAAGCATTGAGCTTATGATCTCTTTATACCTCTCCGACAGAAGAAGGCAGCAGCACTCAGATTTCCCTGCAGGGATAGTGTTGGCAAGCTGAGCCTCCACACCCACCCCGTAGCAACAGATTGAACAAGACAATGTGATTCAAGCTACATAGAACTCTACTTTCCTTCTACTTCTGTGTCAGTGGGATCCCATGACAAGCTGAACCTATATTTTGACCTGCCAACACTGAGACTGAAATAAGATCTGGGAAACAGGGCTAGTCAGTTCTCAGGTCCCCTGTCACCGGCTGTCAGCAAGGGCCAGTGGATAGCTTAGCCTCAATTTCTACTTAGCATCACAGAGAAGATATAGATGGTAGGAAAAAAAAACCATCTTAATTAGCTCCCCAGTCCTCTAATATCCTTCTGCTTGTGCCAAGGCCCAGCTGGGAGCTGAGCTTCCACTCCCACCCTGCAGGAACACAGAGATATTAGATAGTCTTCTACTTACCACCTCCATGGTACCAGCAGGACTCATTGGAGAGCTGTGCTTATATCAGCACTCAGACACAGAAATACAATACAAATAGTTGCCCCACTTTTTCTAGAAAGGGCATCAAAGGGTTCTAGACAGGAGTGGAACTTCCACGGTACCCAAACTTTGTACTATACCTCCAAAGGGGTACTGCATTATAAACAAAGTGATCAAAAAAGACACAGAGTCTCATAAAATATTCAAAATGTCCAGAATAATCATTTGTCATAATGAGAACCAGGAAAATCACAACTTAAGTGACAAAAAACAATGAACAGCCTCCATGATGAATCAGAGGTGTGAATTATCTGACAAGGATTTAAGCAGCTATCAAAAAATGCTTCAAAAAGCAATTATGAGTTATCTTGAAACCAATGAAAAATATTTTAAAATCTCAGCAAAGAACTATAAATTATAGAAAAGGACCAAATGGAAATTACAAAACTGAAAATTATAATAACCAAAATTAAAACCTTACTAGACGGGCTCAATAGTAGAGTGGAGATCACAGAAGATACAATCAGTGAATTTAAGGACAGGTTAATATAATTTACCCAATATGAACAAAAGAAAGGAATTAGAAAGAAAAAAAATGAACAGAGTCTCAGTGACATATGGAACAATAACAAAAGAGCTAATACTCCTATTATTAAACTCCCAGAGAGAGGAGAAAGAATGGGAATGAAAAATTATCCAAAGAAATTAGAAAGACAAATATTTCTATGTGGCATCTCCTAGAAACAGATTATAGAAAACTGGTTACCAGGAGCTGGTGGGTAGGGGGAATAGGGAGAGATTGGTAAAAAGGTATAAATATTCAGCTATAAGATTAATAAATTCTGAGAATCTAATGTAAAACAATGTGACTATATTTGTTGACATTATTACATAATTGAATTTTTTTGAGATAGAGAAATGTAAATGTTCTCTCCAAAAAAAAAAGGATAATTTTGTGAGGTTATGGTTGTGTTAATTAACTAGATGGTGGCAATCCACTTACAATATGTATGTATATCAAATCACCATAATCTACCCTTTAAATATCTGAGAATTTTATTTGTCATTTATACCTCAATAAAACTGTTAAAATAAAATAAATTGGACTGGGTAAAAATAGGGATAAATATATACTAGACTGTCTTTCCTATAGGTTCTTAAAATGTATTTAATGTTTGATGCAAAAATCATATCACCATCTGATGTGGTGCTCAATATATAGAAGGGAAAAACTTAAAATAATTATATTTTTAAATGGGGAGAGTAAAGCTACCTAAATTGAAGTAAACGTTCTAGACTTTTATCCAAGTTGTGAAATATCAATACTAACAGACTTTAATAAGTTACATATGTATATATATTTTTTTCTTTATTGATTTTTAGAGGGAGAGGGAGAGAGAGAAATATTGATGAGAATAAACATCGATTGGCCGCCTCCTGCATGCCCCGCACTGGGGATCGGGCCCACAACCTGGGCATGTGCCCTGACTGGGAATCGAACCGTTGGTCTCTTGGTGCATGGGTCAATGCTCCACCACTAAGCCACACCAGCCAGACTACATATGAATATTTTAAAACCTGGGAAACCACTAAGAAAAGTATATGAAGCAATTATACTTAAAATAATATAAATAGCCCTGGCAGATTTTGCTCAGCGGTTAGAGTGTTGGCCTGTGGACCCAAGGGTCACAGGTATTATTCTCAGTCAAGGGCATATACCCTGGGTTGCAGGTTCAATCCCTGGCCCCAGTCAGGATCATACAGGAGGCAACCAATAAATATGTCTCTCTCATATTGATGTTTCTCTCTCTCTCTCTCTCTCTCTCTCTCTCTCTCTCTCTCTCTCTCTCTCTCCCCCCCTTCTTCCCTCCCTTCTACTCTAAAAATCAATGGAAAAATATCCTCAGGTGAGGATCAATAATAAATAAATAAAATACTATAAATAAATCCAATCAAATGAGTTTTCCAAAAAGTGTTCAAGTATCCTATAGGAAGGTAAGAAATGAGCCAGGAGAGTTGTGATAGGAGATCCCAGCAGTGTCCAGGGAAAGGAGAGATGGCCTTCATTGCCCAGGCATTAGACTCATAGGTCCCTGCCCCCACCCCTTGCCAGAAAGGAAGCTGCGGAGGCCAGAGACACAGTGACATAAATTAGCCTCAGCGTATGAGGAGGTGTCCCTTGGGGGATGAGGTCAGGGTTGAGACTCACAGTCAGCAAGCTTGAGGGCTGAGCCCCACCCATGAATGGGGCAACAGCAGTCAAGACCCAAATACAACAGGAGAGCTCACATAACCCATACAAGGGACATTCCTAGAGCATTAAGGGTTATGTTGGCCTCATAAAATGTGAAATGTGTTAGGAAGTATTGCTTCTTCAATTTTTTGGAGCATTTGAGAAGAATATGTTTCAAATCTTCAAATGTTTCGTAGAATTCACTAGTGAAGCCATCTGGTCCTGGACTTTTGGGGGGAAGGGGGGTTTGACGGTTGTTCCAGTTTCCTCACAGTTGAACAGTCTATTTAGATTTTCCAATTCTTCATGATTTAGTCTATGGAAGGTTATATATTTCTAGGAATTTACCCATTTTTTCTGGGTTATTGAATTTGGTGACATATAGTATTTTACAGTATTCTAGTATGATCCTTTGTATTTCTGTGATATCTGTGGTAACATCTCTTTCATCTCTGATTTTGTGTATGTATATGAGTCTTGTCTCTTTTACTTAGTGAGTCTAGCCAAGGGTTTGTCAATTTTATTAACCTTTTTAAAGAACCAACTTTATGTTGTATTAATTTTTTGTAGTCTTTTTGTTCTCTATTGGTGACAACCCTGAGAAAATCATGCTAAGTAAAATAATTCAGACACAAGAAGTTAAGAACCATATGATTTCACTTATATGTGGGGTATAAAACTGAATACAACAAATGAACAAACAAGAAAAACAAACAAAAACTCATAGACACAGACAACAGTATGGTGGTTACCAGAGGGATAGGGGCAGCAAGGAGTAAAGGGGGCCAAATGTATGGTGAAGGAAGATGATTTGACTTTGGTGATGGGCACACAATGCAATATACAGATCATGTATCATAGAAATGTACACCCGAAACCTATATAATCTCATTAAGCAATGTCACCCCCATTAATTTAATTTAAAAAATAAAATAAATTATATTTTGGTTTTTTGCAGCAAAATGGTTTATGCACAAAAATGGAATACTGAATCTCTAACATAATATACTCTTTCAGGCTATAAATATAGTTGGAGTTGGACTGTTTGGAGGAACTGGTATAGTAACCACACCAGCAACTGTACCAGCAATAGTACCAAAGTTACATGAAGTTAAAAACAAAGTTTCTGCCAAATTGGCATCATCTTGCATTGCTATTCAATGGGAGAAACCAGACTGCCATGGTTCTCCAATCATTGGATATAATATTGACTATGGAGACAGAAAAATGTTGACTGTTGGTAGAGTAACAGACTGTGTTCTGAAAAATCTACAGCCTGACACCACATACAAGTAAGTCACTTATATCTTACTTTGGGTAGATGGAAAGCTTTTTGAAAATTTTGAGCAAATTTCATTTGTATGTTTTATATACTCTACACAATATTTCCTTTGAAAGGGAGTTTTACTGTTTTAGAAAAAGTTGGCATTACTAAGAACCAGTTTCTCCTCACCAAGAATTGTCAATAGTAATTATGCAGATTTAATATTTTTGTCTCAAAAATGTATGTGTAATAATTAGTATAATATGATGGTCAATATTATACATAGGCTTACTAGGGCTTTAGAGTAAATGAAGAAATGTATTTTCTTTTCTAAATATAAAATAATATAGCTTAATTTTTTCTTCTCACCACTAGAATCAGAATTCAAGCTATGAATTATTATGGACGAAGCCCATTTAGCCATTCATTAAGAACCAAAACCAAGCCACTACCACCTGAGCCTCCACATCTTTACTGTGTGGTCTATGGACACCAGAGCCTCAAACTGAAGTGGGGTAACTCTTTAAACAAAGGGTTACTCTCCAACCTTATAAGCTATAATTTGTTAATGGAAGATCAATCTGGCAGGTAAACTATTTTCACTATTTAACATGTATTCTAATAAAAATGTTTTAACATTGCCTATCTTAATCCTATAATCCAAGTGGCTTCAATGAACTAATAGATGTGAAAGCAACCCATTATCATGTTAGAAATACATTCTTCACTTCCTGCTGATAATTTAGCTCTCTATTTTCACCTCTTTCAAAACACTTCTTCCTTCATACAGCATACATTAATACCAGAAAATAGAAGTTACCAAGAAACATGAAAGCCAGCACCTTACCATATGATATTTACAACCTGATTTTTTACTTTTGTGTTTTACCTATCTGGCTTCGAGTTGATATATTTAGAACTTACTGAGGTTTTATAATCGTTTTTAAGTCAGTTATATAGTTATTTGTACCTGTGTGACTGCTAAATAATAATATTGCTTCTCCCATCTCAATCCCCACTCCCAGATTTTCTATCGTTTACCATGGATCTTGTCAGACTCACAAAGTGCAAAGACTGAGTGAATATACTCAATACAAATTTAAAATTCAGGCATGTAATGAAGCTGGTGAGGGACCACTGTCTGGTATCTATACTTTCACTACAACCAAAACTCCACCAGCAACACTTAAAGGTAAGTGTTATAAGCCATGACAACAAAGACTGCATTAATCTGGGTTCCAATAGCACATATACAAAAATCCACAGTAAGGTTTATTTTAAATATTCAACAATATAATACCAAAGAAACTAGTGATTATCGATTCAAAGGGCAATGTAAAATTAGTGAGTCTCAGAATCATATTGTTTAAAATATCTTTGAGATCAACTAATCTAGCCAATCACTCTATCACCACAGCCATTTTTAAGAGGAAGAAGACAAGTCCCCAAATCGTAAGAAACTTGGCTAAAAGACTTTATGAGCCAGTGGCAGAGCCAAGATTAGAATTATAAGCTCTTTGTTTCCATTGAGTTCTACTTCTACTTTGCCATTATGTTCATTCCTTGCTACATCTTGTGTTTCCTCAAAAGTACACAAAACTTATCAACTGATAGGTGTGATTATACTGACTAATGCTGAAAAAGTAAGACCATGTAAACTTAGTATTTGATACATATTTAGTATAAATTTGTAGTCTCATATTTGGTAATTAGTACGTATTTGGTAAGTTTTGAAACTCTGAATTTTCTCTCCTTATTTGAATAGTAAAAAAAAAAATGGTGTGCAATACATAATGGGGCCAATTTATATTCATGAAAACTTGAGTTTTGAGCATTTTTTCTTCCCAGTTATGAAATTCAGTTGTTCCAATCCATTTATATGAGTCCAAGCACTATTCTGAAATCATTTATTTTTTTTCTTTATTGATATTAGAGAAAAAGAGAGAGAGGAAGGGAGAAGAAGAGAGAGAGAGAGAAACATCGATGAGAGAGAACATCGATTGGCCACCTCCTGCATGCCCCCCACTGGGGATTGGGCCCACAACCTGGGCATGGGCCCTGACCGAACCGGTGACCTCTTCGTGCATGGGTAGACACTCAACCACTGAGCCACACCAGCCAGGCATAACTATATATCTCTTAAATTAAGCCTACATGAGCTGCCTTTTAATGACCATGGAAAATTATGCGAGAGATTTCAATGTATTCAAGATCATCTAGGAAAAGATGGAATCCTCTAAATTGAAATTCTCTTTTTCTAGCACCTAAATTACATCAGGTGAATAGCAGTGTTTGTGAGGTCAAATGGGAGTCTTTGGAACCAATAAAAGGAGATCCCATTGTTTACAGTCTTCAACTCATCAGTGAAAAAGGAACTGTCCTGGTAAATTTTTGCAAATTTAGTCTTTAACATTTTATAGTTTTACATCCTGCTAGGGATTGGGCTCTTGTCAAGGAGTAACATATTCTTATAGGATGTTTGAAGTAACTCAGTGTTATCCAAAAGTCATATCTGGTCCCTAATTTATGTGCATAATATTATTTGGGGACTTAATTAACTTATTCATTTAATATTGAGTAATTTGGTATTTCTAGGTTCTACTGACCACATGCACAACAAATTCCAAACCAAACACAATTAAAGTTTAACAATTATAAGTCTTTATTATTTCCTACATTAAACAAAATTACCTAAGCAGTACTGGGTCCTCTCAGAATATTAGAGACTATAAAAATAAACTTTTATTTTTTTGTGTTTACATATTCATGAAATAAAGGGATTAATCCATATTTTTCCTGTTGTCAAAAACCACACTATGCTATTTTATTTAGTAATAAAATATAATTTTTATTTTGACTCCTTTTCCGTTAGATTTACAAAGGACCAGACACTTCATTCTCCTTTTCCAACTTTCTCACAAATTCACATTATCGCTTCAAGGTCTGCGCCGGACGCCAATATCAGAATTCTGCCGGCTTACAACAGCTCTGGGGACCATATAGTCCCAGTGCTCTTTTCTCAGCTCATAAGCAACAGCCAAGGACCAGCAAAGAAGGTAGAGGAAAGGGTAGAAAGTGCCCTAGTGAAGGTAAAGATGAAAAGCCCAGGATAAAGATGGACAATGATATGTTTATTCTAATCCTTGTGATACGATTTGCACTAATCGCCATTCTGTGCGCTGTCGCAGTTAAACACTTCCTAATCAACTAATCTACTTTTATGCATTTTGATCTTCTTAGGAAGTTCTAAAACAAATTACATCAAATGTAGAAATTGCTAGATATATCTCCATTCTTATGTAGAAATCATATTTGTTAGAAACCTTGACATTTACCTGACAGCAAAAGAACTACTTTACATTCAAGAAATTCATTGTGACAGTAAAAGAGGTATTTTTAGAAAATAGGTCTATTTTAAATTTGAGAATTTTAGCAGTAAAACACTTTCACTGTTATATAAAAATACCTAAAAGCTCTCAGGAAAATTATTCCCTGCCTTAATTTTTCAAATGAATACCTTTTAAACTTTTTAGAAGTATGAGAGGATTATATTTTGAAATTTTATTTAGAACGCAGTGGGAAAAATCAATTCTATATGTCAACTTACATTCATATGAAATAATAAAAACTACCTACGAACCTCCTGTACTGTAATTTTTTTCAAAGTATAACATATTCAACTGTTTGGCTTGCGCCCTGATTACTTTGATAGTGAGGAGGAGAAGCAGGGATTTGGGGAGTCATTTTATACCATTCCAAACTCTTTAAAATGTACCCAGTGTTGGTTACTCTCTAGTCAGAATGATTAAACATTACACATATGATGACTCACTTTTATATGGCATATTAAAATGATTTCTTCTCAAAAGTGATGGGTTCACATCTATTTCTAGTTACAAATGAAGCATCTCTTCTTTATTCCTACAATCCATTCCACAGGAGCTATTTTAGTGGTCTTACAGGGGAGATATTACCCACTCCAAAAGACTACCTTCTTACCTTTATTGAAAATGTTTAAATCTCATCTCTTATTTCAGAGTTTGTTCTATGTTTTCAAAACTGAAAATCATAAATTTGACACAAAAGTATCAATTTTTATGTGAACTATTAATTTTGGCCTATCCAATGACATTATCTTTCATTTGATATTGCATTAATATGTGGTATAAATATAAAATATTTACTATGGTAGTTGTTTTCAATTTAGAGATTGAGGTATGGTTTAAAATATGGAAAACATAAAATAGTTATCTTCAAAAGTAAATTGTGATAAAATGTGAATCCACTTTCTATAAATTATATCTGCTTCATATTTTTATTTTAAATATTACTTAAAATGGAAATTTTAATGTAATAAATTGGTATACAGCAAGACTTTTCTACCACACAAATATTTTAAACCCTGCTAAAGAATTATATCCTGTTATTATTTTTTTTGCCTATAGTAAATATTTAAGTAATATTTTACCCAGCAGAAAACATTTTAAAGATGTATTGAAAAATCTCACCTCTTTAGTAAATTACATTTCAAGGAAAATGGGAAATTTTCTTGATTTAAAATATCTCTTGAGATTGATAATTAAACTAAATACATTTTTTTTATCCTCACCCGAGGACATTTTTGCATTTATCTTCAGATAGAGCGGGAGGGGGAGAAGGGGGAAGAGAGAGAAAGAAATGTCAATGTCAGAGAGACACATCGACTGGCTGCCACCCACATGGCCCCATTGGGGCTGGGGACAAACTGCAACCAAGGTACATGCCCCTAACAGGAACCAAACCCTGGACTCTCTGGTCCACAGGCCAACGCTCTAATTACTGAGCCAAACTGGCCAGGGCAAACTGAATACATTTAATTCTTCTCAAAGTAAATGGTCTGCAGCTTCCTACATTTATAAAACTAATGTAGAACCTACTGTTTACATTTATTAAAGTATAACTATCATAGGAAACATTTTAAATACCAATACAAGTGACAATAAATATGCACCTACTATTTTTGAAATGAAATTTGTGCAAGTTTATTTATTTGGAATAATTATCCTTCTGATATCATGTTTATATCTTCCCAAAGAAACTAGAATAATAAAAACCAGTTCCAGATGTTTTTAATTGCCCTTTAAAACATCGTTTTATGAATCTGTTTCTGACTTCTTTCTAATTTGGAGGCATTTTATATTTGATGTAGTGGGCTGAATATCAGAAGGCTAAAGTTGTAGTCTTATCTCTGCTAATAACAAGTAGTGTGATCTCAAGCAAAGACTTTCCCTTCTTTAGGCATCAACTGTGTAAAATATTAATAAATGTGAGAAAATAGATATCTTTAGAGTTCCTTTCACATCTAAGAGTCTATCCCGATAGATACATCAACTAAAATATAGACATGCTAAACTCAGGGAGATTAAAGCCACAATTCTATATAGCACCAGACAAATAGCAACCAGGCACAGCTGTGAAGAGCTGAAGACCCCTACTAGGTACCATCTTGGGTCCAATTCACTGGAGTTTATTTTTATTCTTGGACCCCAGATTTGCCTTGCCTATTTCCTTCTCCAGTGCTATCACTGATGGCTTTTTTCCTCTAGAGCACTGGAAAACAAAAATCCCCATACCATCTCAGCTACTTTCTTATCCATACACCAAGCCCATAACTGCTTTTTGATTATGTAAGAACTATTTACTGCTAGCTGCATTAGAAAATAGAAAGATGAAGAGGTCCTATCAGTGAAAGGCCTCTCTTCTTAAAATACATAACCCCTCAAGATTTGAGCAAAGAAAAGCTCATGAAAAGGAACTTGGTGGAAATGAGATGATGTCAGTGACCAAGTCAGATACACATAGTTTCATGTCCCTTGGGGAAAGTTCCCATTTTGACAAACATTTTTCCCACAGATATGCACTGCTTCCCTTTAATACATATGTCCAATTGAAATTAAAAAACCCTTTCTAGATTACCTGTAAACAGGCACAAGATATCTTACTAGGGTGATGGAAATGTTCTAAAATTGGATTGAGATGATAGTTGCATAACTTGATGTTTATTTAAAATCACTGAATTATACAAAATGAGTGAATTTTACTGCATGTAAATTATACTTCAAAAAGCTGTTTAGACCTGGCCAGCTTGGCTCAGTGGTAGAGCGTTGGCCCGTGGACCAAAGAGCCGTAGGTTTGATTCTGGTCAAGGGCACGTACCTCTGTTGCAGGAGGCAGCCAGTCAATGTGTCCCTCGCACATCAATGATGTTTCTCTCTCTCTCCCTTTCTCTCCATCTCTCTCCATCCCATTCTATCTGCAGATAAATAAAAAAATATCCTCATGTGAGAATTTTTTTTAAAAGTTGTTTAAAAACAACATTTCTTTAGCTCCAGGCTGGCCCATAGCCCCAAGATCCAGGAGTGTTCCCACAGGTCCATGCTCACAACCCATGCCTATACAGGAGGGTGCCCACAGACCCAAACAACAGGTCACCTCTCATGGCTTGCTCTAGTAATATGCAAGGAAGAGGAGTCCCTAAAACATCTGGTTTTGAAAACCAGCAGGATTATGTGGGAGACATGGCAGTGGGAGACTGAGGTGCTGTTCTTAAAGGGCTCGTACATAAACTCACCAGCTCCAAACTCCAGCATGGAAGAAGCAGAGAGACACCTGGGTTACACAGGGAATAATTAAATTGACTAATTTCAGGGCAAGGTCCACAGTGGGAACTCTCTGGGGATGGAACACTGCCAGGTGCCACTGTTCCTATGTTTCTTTTGTTGTGCTCTCCTTCTTCCTGCCTGGTCCACTTCAGGCAGGAACCAAATCTGTCTCTCTCCATTAACCTGGCTAACATCATTCATCCCCCTGAGAGCCCATCCCACCCACCCAGCTCGCTCCAGCTGGAGCCTCATCCAAAGAGCTCTAGACCCTCCACACACATGACAGCAAGCCTCAGCTTACATTGCAGTCTTTTCCAAGTACTCTTAAGCTTGGCGTACGTGGCCACTGCCCTCAGCTCATATCAAAGATTTTCCCAAGTAGGCCCAAGCTAGGTCCAAGTGGTGGCTAGTCTTGGCTCACACGTGGCGCAAGTGGTGGCTGGCCTCACTTAGTATTGCATCTCCTACCAAGCGGCCCCAAGGCCGATGCAAGTGGAAGCCACCCTCAGTTTGCAATATAGCTCCAACCCAGTAGCCCCAAGCCTGGCACAAGTGGCAACTTGCCTTGGCTCATATCTTAGTGCTCACAAAATGGCCCCACACCCAACACAAGCAACAGCCAGCCTCAGCTCATATTGTAGCTCCTATCAAGCAGACTCAAGCTTGGCAGAATTGGTGGCCCACCTCAACTTGCCTTTCCCAAGCCCCAGCACAAGCAGGAGCTGGCCCCAACTCACATTGTAGCTTATACCAAGTGGCCGCAAGCATGGCACAAGCAGTGGCCAGCCTTGGCTCATGTTGAAGCCTTTACCAAGCAGTTCCAAGCTTGGCACAAGTGGCATTTAGCCTTAGTTGCTATCATAGGTCCCAGCAAATGGCCCAAGCCCAGCACAAATGGCAGCTGGCCAATGCTTTCATTGTACCTCCTACCAAGAGACCCCAAGCCTGGAACAAGTGACAGCTGGCCTTGAACCATATTGTAGCACCCACAAAATGGCCCCAAGTATGGCACAGGTTGCAGCCATCCATGGCCCACATTGGAGCCCCCACCACACACTTGGAGGCCAGGCTCAGCTCACAACAGAGCCCCACCCAAATAATCCCACAACCAACATACCTAATTGGTGGCCTCAGCTGGCACTGGATCCCCACCAGACCTAGTCTCACTCCCTGGGCCCAGCACTCTCAGATCAGCTCATCAGCAGAAGTCAAGGCCAGTCCACGCAGCCAGTTAGCCTGATGGTCAACCCACCCATTGATGTGACCAAAGTAACCATGTCCCAACTAAAATTCTAGTTTCTTTTATCTTTTCTTGTCTTATCTTCTCTTTTTTTCAGCTACCTATAATATGAAAGAGGTATATTTAATATTTGTTCTTTATATTACTTTTTTTGGTTAATCCTTATCTGAGGTTATTTTTCTATTGATTTTTTTAGAGAGAGTGGAAAGGGAGGAGGAAGAGAGAGAGAAACATTGATGTAAGAGAGACACATTGATTGATTGCCACCCGTATGACCCTGAAGTGGGTCTCTTGTAGGCAGCATATGTACGAATCTTGTGTTTTTTAATT